ATTTGATCCAAAGACAGGTATGATCTAAACAATGGAAACCAATTCAACTTGGAGAAAGGGGACCATGCATTTCACACCTATTTTTCACTGATGACCTGATTCTGTTTACTGAGGCAAGCAAGGAGTAGATGGAGATCATTAAAGACAGCATAACCAAATTCTACATGGCATCTGGCCATCGAGTGAACCTTGAGAAATCTAAAGTGTTCTTTTCTTGTAACATTCATTTTCATCATACGAAGGAGCTTAGCGATGAGTTGGGGATTGGGCTTACAGCAAATTTAGGTAAATATCTTAGAGTTCCTCTTTTACATGATTAGGTCAAATGTAATACCTACTCTCCTATTTTGCATAGGGTATAGAAGAGACTTTCAACTTGAAAAGGTAAATATCTTTCTTTGGCCGGTAGAGCCATTTTAATCAAGTCAATGTTGTTAGACTTACCTAATTACCAAATGCAAACTATTGTTATTCCTAAAGGGATTCTAAATGAGATTGAAAAAACTAGTAGGAATTTTTAGTGAAATCAAGGTAGAGAAGGGAGGAAAATGCATTTGATTGCCTAGGATGTTTTGAAGAAAGATAAAGATGATGGGGGTTTGGGATTTAAAGATTTGTTCCATCAAAATTTGGCTTATATTATGAAACTATGTTGGGGTTTAACTACATAGCCTGAGTCTCTATGGGTTATAATTTAGAAGTTTAAATATTTGTGTGGAAATAATCTTTACCCTTCTATCTGAAAGAAAAAAAAAAAAGAAAGAAAGCCTCTGTTGTTTAGAGTGGTGTGGTCATGATTTAAGATAGATTTAGAGATGTTGTAAGCAGGAAAGTTAATAATGGAGCAAAAACATTATTTTGGTGGGACCTTTGGACTTCTCTAGAATAGCCTCTTATTGCCTATATTGATAAGAATCAGCATTTGATTAACCTGACAGCTAATGTGGCTAGCTTCATCCAACCTAATGGAGAATGAAATGTTAGTAAATGCTTAAATTCCTCCCGGATTGGATTGTTCAAAAAATCAAGATGGTGAAACTCTCTATATTATGTCAAGAGGATTGCTTTTGGTGGAAGAAGTCTTCAGATGGTAATTTCAGTGTTTGCTCAGCCTTTAAACTTCTACAAAATCCTAGAAACCAACAACTTGAGCCTTTCTAGAGGAAACTATGGTGATGGTCTATTCTATAAAAGATTAAGCACTTTTTATGACAGGTTATTCATGAGAGAATTCCCTCTAACTCCCTCAGAGCCAAGAGAAGGTTATGTGAGAGCATAAATTGTCCCTTTAAGTGTAATAGTGAGGAAACAATTATTCATCTGTTATGGGATTGTGATATAATGAGAGCTGTATGGCTTGATTTAATTAACCCTATATCTATTGTATCTTTTTTCTCATGTGATTTATAGGCTTGGCTGAGGAAGAATGCAAGCAATGCCTTTGGAAATACTAAAAGAAGTAGGTAGACATAGCACAAGGTGTTTGGTTTCACTTGTTGGATACTTTGGAAGAACATATGCAAGGGTGCTATAGAAGGACAACGATACTCTACTCAAGAGACTATGCATGGTGTGATTTATCAATTAATGGAGTAGGTAGATAATGAAAGACTCAACAATCAAATCTTTCATAAGATTGAAGATTCAAATGAGAAGTGGATCCTACCACCTATAGACTACTTCAGGATGAATGTTGATGGATCAGTTAACCAAATTGGATATGCCACTAGAGGAGGTGTTCTTAGAGACGCTAATGGTAAATGGGTTATTGGTTTTCAAAGTCAATTTGGATACTTCCTATTGCTGCAAAATTATTGGCTTTAAAAGAGGGGTTGAAGCTGTGTAAATTGTTACATTTACCAAATTTAAATGTCATTTAGACTCTTTTGATAGTATTTAGTTAATTAGAATAGCAGGTTGATTTGATCATCCATCAAAATATGATATTTTAGAGATTTGTGAATTGCTTATCTCAAGATAGGATGTGGAGATTATTTACTCACCGAGGGAGGTTAACAGGGTAGCTAACTAGCTTGTGAAGGATGCTCAAAATAGGGAAGATGATTCGAATGTCTGGTATGAACCTATATTAGATTGTTTTGACTTGTATCCGTTTGATGTTTTGATGTAATTTTGTGTAACGTCCAGGCTTTGACCTGTGTCTTGTGTGATAAAAAATTTTTAGTACAAATGTAATTATTATTTTTAATTATTTCAATTATTTTTTAAAAAATTATTAATCTTTAGATTAAATTATCTTGCACCCCCTAACTCTGAATCCTAACCCTACCATTGCTTGGTGTCATATTTTCTGACTTGTAAGCCCATTTAGATTAAATCAAATGATCTATTTCTTCTTTCTTCTCGTGTTATTTGTTTTCTGAATTTTATGGTATTTTACTAAGTAAATAAGTAAGTTATTCCCTGAACTTTAGGTATAATAACACCATAAACCTTAAGCTCATTTATTATGAAAATTATTTCCTTAACTTTTGAAAACAGTATAATCTAACCGTTACCATTAACAAAAGTTAACTTTACCTGTTCCTTGACAAGAAAATAACAGAAAAGGAGGGTTTCAAAATTATTTTTGGTTCTCTTTTGTAATTTTTGAAATAATTTTTTATCACTAACTAACCAACCAACAGTCAAAGTTATTGACAAAAAAAGTTGAAATTAACTTTTGTTTGCAACGAGAGCTGAATTTTATTATTTTTTAAAATTAAAAAAATGATTTACACAATAAATAAATTTAAGAGGCCAAAAGGTGAAAAGATATTTGTAAATTCAAGGCATGTGCAGGGCCATGTTAATCTTTTTTATATTATTCCAATTTTATTAGATGTCTTAGGACTTCAAGTTCAATCCATTAACTTAACAATTCATCCAAATTATCCTTCACATCAACATAAGCATTAAGCACCATGTTTGCTGGCATACTGTTTCAACATACAAGACGTTGCCTCCCAAATGGTTCCCCCTAACTCTATAGTTCTGAGATTTTTAATTTAGGGACCAGACTTCGTTTTTCTTTTTGTCACTTCCCTTTTCGGATGAAAATACTATTAAAATTGGGAAAACCACATTTAATCCCAGCTAAACAAGTTAGTCCTACTTAAGTCTCCTGAATTTGCCTTAATTGTCAAGGAGTGGCTTCTCTCCCGTTTACTTGTCCCTCCTCTCCCTCTCCATTATACATTTTAGTTATTAGATTATATATTGAATGTTCCAGATTTAATATTTTAAAAAATATTATTTTAATGTAAAATTGTAAAAAAAAAAAATCAAAACTCCTGAAACTTGATCTCAAAATTTCAAAACTGTAGAATTTTTTTTTTTTTTTTGAAAAATTACTCTGTAAATAATAAATCTAGAACATTCAAAATATAAACTAATGGCTAAGATGTGTAGAGGAAAGGAAGTGTAGGCACAGGTAAATGAAGAGAAGCCTGTTGAGAGGTGGGATTTAGTTGTTAATCATGATACATGTGAAAAGACAAAATAGCCCAAGCAATAGGGAGAAAATCCCTCCATTCCGCCCTTTTGCCAGCATGATTCCTAGTGCCCGTTTGATATGTCTTTAATTGATTTTATTCTCAAAAAAATTGATTATTTGGTTTATTAGCCAAACACTTGAAAAAGCAAAAAATTAATTTCAACCCTTAAAATTAATTTTTTCAAAAGTTAATATTTTGAGCTTTTCCAGAAACGCTGATAAAAAAGTACTGGAGAAATTACATAAAAAGGTCAAAAAACACAAAATTTTATAAAAAAAAAATCAAACTCCCTTCTCTTCTTTTTTTTTCTTAGTAAAATTCAAATTTTATATTTTAAAAAAGTTGCTAACATATATTAAGTTAAAATTAATTTTAAAAAAATAATATCTGAACAAATTACATTATAACATAATCAATTATGATTAAAATCTATTATTTAATTAATTATTTTCATAATTTATTATACCCAACTAAAATTCAAATGGACCTTAGTCGTTGTCCTCTCGACAAAACTCTCTTCCCAGCTGAACTCCGCTGCGGCTTGCCCTCACCGATATTCATGTAAATATATTGGAAGATGACAGGCATCGTACATCCTTCTACCAATAAGAATAAAACACAATTAATAGTGATGATGATGATCATCATCAATTATTATTATTTAATAGTAAATGAGCGATCCAAAAAACTAATGAATTCAAGCAAGAAAAGATATGGGTTGTTGACACTCGCCAAAACACAAGAGGAGCAAGAGATGAAAAAAGATGAAGATGCATCACGCATATCTCCTCACTTCTCAGGCTTATGTATCTATATCTCCAATAAATATATGCAATGTTAAACTATTATAATATAAATTAATCCTATCATTGATGATGATTGAGAGAGAAAAAAGATAAAAAAAATTAAAGGGGAATTATATTATAAAAATAAAATTATTAAAAATAATAATATATAAGATTATATTATGTTACACTGGTACATGTCATGTATTTATTAGAAGAAACATAATGATAATAAAAATAACTATTATTTTGTGATTTTTATATCGTATAATATCTTAATAGATTTTTATTGATAAAAGATAATTTATTATTTGGTTATTCTAAAATTTTATGATATTTTTGTCCATTAGTTGTATAATATTCTCTATCATTCAGAAGCTAATAAAAATATAGTTTCTAAAGGTAAGTAGAGATATTTTTTTTCAGATCTGATAATTTTTAAAAATTTAAATAAATATAATAAAATTGTATAAAATATATTTTAAAAATCGAATATTTTTTCATGAAAAAAAAAGACTTAAACAAATAGACTAGAATATTAAAAACTCATTATTTATCAGAAACTGATGGGTTTGGGCCAGTACTCTAAGCTAATTTAATAATTTTGTTAATCTGTACCATTTCTGTATGGGCCGGGTTTCTAGTGTGGAAGCCGAGCCCATAATCAAAACGCAAAGCCAAGAACCCTAGCTACTACTTCGTCATTCCTCTCTTCCTTATAGTCTCAAACGCAGCAGAGAGCGGCAAAGAGATCCTGCGAGCGAGAGTTTGTGAGAGTGAGCGACAATGGTGTCAGGATCAGGGATCTGCGCGAAGAGGGTGGTGGTTGACGCTCGTCACCACATGTTGGGTCGTCTGGCCTCGATCGTGGCCAAGGAGCTCCTCAATGGTCAGAGCGTCGTCGTGGTGAGGTGTGAGGAGATTTGCATCTCCGGCGGCCTTGTGAGGCAGAAAATGAAGTACATGAGGTTCCTTCGCAAGCGCATGAACACCAAGCCTTCCCACGGGCCCATTCACTTCCGAGCTCCGAGCAAGATCTTCTGGCGCACTGTTCGTGGGTGAGTTTCTCAGGCTGAGCATTTTTATCTGTTTTCACTGAATAGGACAGTCGGTGTGTTCTTAGGATCATTTGAAATATTGGGATTCATTTTTTAGTGGTCTGAATTTTTTTCCGGATGCGTGTGCTTTGCTTCCAAGGTAATATGGCTAGTTGGGCCTAGCTGATGTTCTTATATTATTTCTGAATTGAATGAATATCGATGTTTAGTGATTACTTTGAATGCCAAGCTGCCCAAGTGAAATTCAGGGAATGAATAGATCCTTCGTGATATGATTATGCATGGTTTGTTTTGAGCAAATCAATATGATTATGTTGGCATCAACCTTGTTGAGTGAGTTTTAGGTATTGCATGTTGGTGGATATTACTTTCCGGTTTGCATTGCACATCACATACTTTCTTATTTGTCTGTACATCAAAGTTTGACTTTTATCTACTCACTTGATAGCTTAGATTATTTTTCTTTAGAAATGTTACGCTTGTTTAGGGAAAATTGCAAACTATTATTACTTTTTTATTGTGTTTATGATTTGATATTAATCGGCGTTATCTCTATTTATAGAATGATCCCCCACAAGACCAAGCGTGGAGCAGCTGCACTTGCTCGATTGAAGGTTTATGAGGGCATACCCCCTCCATATGACAAGAAGAAGAGGATGGTTGTCCCTGATGCTTTGAAGTAAGCTTTAGTTCTTCCCGTGTTATCCCTTTTCCTGTGTTGGCAAGCTGCAATTGAGATTATATTTTAAGAATCAGTGTATTTGTATTAACTTTTCTCTTATGAATTTTGATCTGAATGCAATCAGAGTGTTGAGGCTTCAGAAGGGACACAAATACTGCTTGTTGGGAAAATTGTCATCTGAGGTTGGATGGAACTACTATGATACCATCAGGGTAAGTGCTTCCGTGTCTGAACTCCTTCCTTTATGTCATTCTACATTACACAAATGTTTAACAGTGCCTTTGTACAAATTATCAATATCAATAGACCGATCGGATACACTAATTGCAAAGGCCATTTATGGGTTTGATAACTGCACATGTAACTGATCAACTACAGCTAATTGAAATTCCTAGTGTCATTGTTTTTTCTTCTGGGTTGTCGTTTTGTTGGATACACTAATTGCTGATCCCATCTAGTGGGATATGGCTTGGCTTCTTGTTGTAACATTTTTCTTGCGGATTATGAAGCCTTGGAAAATTGAGTGAAACATTCATTTTGGGTGCTGAAGTTTCTGACCATTCTATCACTCACAGGAGTTGGAGAAGAAGAGAAAGGAGAGAGCACAATTGGTTTATGAGAGGAAGAAGCAGCTCAACAAACTGAGGGTGAAAGCTGAAAAGATCGCAGACGAAAAGCTTGGTCCCCAGCTTGAAATCCTTGCTCCCGTTAAGTACTGAGTTGTCTTGTTTTAGGTAGTGCTTTTGAAGTTTTGACGAGAGTTATACCATATTGAACTCTGCATCTTTGTTGCTTGTACCTGGTATTGGACCCTCAAATCTGTTAAATCTTGAAAGCCGTTTTTATTGATATCTTAGAGCTACTTATGTTATTTAGACAATATATTTTCCTCAAATGAGTTGTGGTTTTGCTTCCAAGGAGTGAATGTTTATAAACTGAATGCTTTTTCATCACAAACCCCATTGATACACGGTGGGGTGTGTGATGTTTGTGGTAACATATCAAGTCTAGTTTGTTTCAAGAAGTGACTGAAGCCAGTAAACTCTTGATGGCTTGAGAGCATACACAAGGCCAGGGACTGCAAAAAGATTATGTTTCTTTATGGACGTTGCTGCTTTTATTTTCGCCCGCGGGAGACATCGTTAGTGAAAATGACGTAAGTGAGTTTACGATCTCACTATTTCGGAGTTGATGTTTCCTGGCCCTGACCAGACGGGTCAGAACTCACCTCAACACACAAATGGCCGTTCCTGTTCTTCGAACCGTTTTGTGGATTGAATCGGGTTGAGTCGGTAGCCACCGGATTTGCGCCAGAAATTAGGGTAAATGAATAAATATTTTTTAAACTTTAGGTTTAGTTAAATTTAAAACTTATTTAATGCGTAAATTGTATTTTAAATTTTGAAAATAGTGTGACTTTAACCATTGTCGTTAAAAAGGTCAATGTTAGCAGAGTATTAAAAAAATAATTAAAAAATTATAATAAAAGTTTTAAGAATTACAGCCAATTATAAAAAAAGAACAAATAATTTTTGGCTCTCTTTTTTGTAATTTTTGATATCATTTTCTGTGTTTTTTTATTAACAAACAATTACAATTAATTTTTGTTAATAATAAAATTAGATTGTATCATTTTTAAAAATTAAGGAAATAGTTCATACATATAAAGAAGGAGTAAAGTGTGTGGACCAACTGGCTAGGAATGCCCATCGTGATAGTTTTGAGTTGCAAAGTTATGCAGATGGTTTCTATAAATTATTTCAATATCTTTTATTTTGAAATACCTACCAATTATTTGGTGGACTAGACTTCTCTTTGTAATCCAATTATCAAGCTTAGGCTTGCCTTAATATTCAAAAAAAAAAATAGTTTGTACAATAAATGAATTTATGATTCATGATATCATTGGATCTAAAGTTCAGTAAATAATTTACTCATTTATTCTAAAATAAATAATATATAAAGAAATTTGCAAAAACAAGAACTTTAAATAAATAAGCTTAAGTGCATAAAAAAATCATAGGAAAAGATTCATAAAATTACATATAAGTATCGTATAAGAAAATTCATATTAATTAAATATCCTCAAATCATTTAAATAACAAGATACAAATATTATTTATTATCCATGTAAAAGACCAAAATATGCTTTTAAACCAACCATTATTTTAGAGACTTAATCAATATTAATTTTTTTATATGATACTTTGTTGCAATTTTATGAGTCATTATTTGTAATTTTTAGGTTTTTTGCAATTTTTGCAGTCAACTAATGATCAAAGTAAATTATTTTAACAATAAGGTGTCTAGTACACTATTTTCAAAAGTTAAAGGGCAAAAGTTCTTTAACCCTTAAACATAAAGATATTTTTAAATAGAGCATGCAAAATAAGAAAAAAAAAAAAAGGTGGTTTAGATTTTAAAATTCTCCCATTTTACAGTTAATTTAATAATCTACCAATAGTTAATTACATTTTTATTATATAGGAGGCAACAAAGGTGGGAACAGGCCAAACTTCCGAAAGGAGCCTACAATCTAGTTTATTTTAAGCTTAAGTTAATATATTTGGTAAATAAGTTTAGGTCAGGTTCAAGCTTTTAATTAAATAAGCCAAACTTATTTTTTAAGGCATAACCTATGAGTTAAACATGTTGACTTATTTAGATACACACACATCACATACATATCAATTTTACCATTTATTTTTTTTTTCAATCTATTTTTTTATTTTCAATTATTTCTTAGATTTATATATTAATTTTAAGAGACTTTTGTAGATATAATCCATGTTATATGAGCAAATCTAACAAATAGCCTAATATTTATTATATTTTATATTATAGCTGGTTTATTATATTTGTCAATGATATACCGTTATATATATATGATAAATCTCTTGCATATCAATATAAATTGGCCATACTATCAAATTTTTAAAAATTTAGTCCATATTTTTTAGGCACAAAATTTATTTCGACTAGTAGGCTAATTTATCCTAATTTTAATGTTATTCCTTTGTTATTATTAGGGGTGTTCACGGGATAGGACTGAAACACCCTTATGCCATGTCATGTCCTAAAAAAGATTAGAACTAATTTTTTATCTTATATCTCGTTCCATTAAGAATCAGGACGGAAGCGGGATAAAATCAGGACATCCTGCTGTCCCAATAAATAGAACAATATTAAAAAAGATCTGAATAATAACATTTATTAAAATTTTAAATCATATAATTTATTGAGTTTAAAATCAAAACAATACAAGTATATAAATCACAATAATTTAAAGTCAATTATTGAATTATATTAATCACAATTACACATTATAATAACAATTATAGGTGATCTTTAGGCTATAAGAGTAGTAACAACATGCAAGCTAAACACAATACCAAATCATTGTTCTTTTAGTTTAATTAAGATGTGTTAAGCTAATTTTTTTAAAAATAAAGCAAGAAATACGATATAAATAAAGTTATTAAATAGATAGATATAAAAATAAATTATATTAATGTAATTAATATGTTATAAAAATATATCATCCTGTTTACTCTATGTCGTTAAAATTATCAATAAAAAAAATCTTTACTCTTATATAAGTATTGAAATTATAATTAATATAATTAATATAAGTATAAATTATATTAATATAATTAATATATTTAATATATATTTTTAAAATAAAAATAATATATATAATATTTGGGACGAAATGAGATGGGACATCCTGATGGTAATCTCATGTCTCATCCCATCCCGAACTCCTTCCCGTCCTGTTCTACAAAGTTTCATTTCGATTATTTTCGGGCTAAGATGAGAGCCGTCCCAATATGATCGGGATGATACTGGGCCAATTAGAATGGGTACAAGCTAAACATCCCTAGTTATTATATTATATTATAGTTGGTAAGTCATTTCAATTATTACATATTGTAATTACTTTATTATTATATTGTATTATAATTGTTAAGTCATTTTAATTATCATATATTGTAATTGATAAATCAGGTTACATATTATATATTATAATAGTCATAAAGTATATTTAAGACGTTTAAGATTAAAATGTGAACCTATTTAAAAGGCTTACCTTTAAATAGACTTTTAAATAGATTGTCAAGTCAAGTTAAGCTTTAAATAGGTTTAGACTTGAGTTGTAAATAAGGCCTTATATAGGTTTCAGGTCAGACTCAAATATCTAATTTACCATATAAGCTCAGGCCTATTTAGTTAAAGCCTAATTCGACCTAGTTTATTTTCACCCAAGGGCAAGTAATCTTGAAATGCTTATACAGATTGTTTAAGTAAAAAAATAATCAATTGTCTTTGAAATTCCTTCTTATATTGAAAAATTGAAATACAAGATATTGGATTTTGTAGAGTATTCTTTATAAATGGCTCATCAAATGTGATACTATAAATTAAGGTATTAAAAATTAAATCAGTCATTGAACGAATTAAGAGAGTGGATCAAGAGTTAATGGTTCAACTCATAGTTAGACTCATCTTAATTAAAATAATATAATTTAACTTATATAAAAAAATATTCATATTTGAATATAAAAAAAGAATATTTAAATAAAAAATTATTAGCTCTATTAAAACAACCCAACAAAATTTAATAAAGAGATAAAATTTTATACATGTCAATATAATCCCAACAAAAATTTAACAAACTTGGTAAAATTCGGGAGAAGATTCTCTCCTCTTCCATCCCCTTCTCTTCTTAATCTCTAACCATTAAATTAAAATTTTAAATGATTTAAATTTGATCTTGCTCCTTCAAAAAATTTTATTTTATTTTATTTTTACTGTATTTTTAAATTGTTTTTATTAAATTTTAGGAGTTTGAATTTTATTATTTGTATTTTTTATAATTTAATATTGTGATAATAATTATAGGATATTAAACTTAAACCATCTAAATTTTGATCTAATGGCTAAAAATAAAAAATAATGGAAGAGGAAGAAAAGGAAGAAGAGAGAATCCATACCCATAAGATTCTAATAAAAAGTTAATTTTTTTTTTCAAATATAACAAAAATTAATATAAGAGAAATGGTTCCATCACAGTTGATATTTAAAGATTATTTTGCAATCTCTGTAACACCCTCAAAAATACAAACAGATTTTTCGCAAATTATTAAAACCATTATCATGGTAGAAAATTTTCTTACCATGATACATCCAAGACATAACTTTTAAAATATCCAAAAGGCAATTAAAACTATGAGGGACAGACATAATCCTCATGTCATGATATTCAAATTAGATAATAAATTAAGAGGGACAGACATAATCCTCTTGGTCATATAAATACTTTTAATAAAAAGGATTAGAGTTTACATGCTTTACAAAGAAGATATGTCATAAGTTGGCACAAGATACATTGTATAATCTAAAATAAGAGGCAACGTAAAAGATGGTGTCTCATACACCATAATTACACATCTGGTGCTTTCTCGGCCGGACTCGCTCCTGTAAAATAGTAACCACGGGGAATGAGATTTAAAAGTCCCAGTAACCAAAAATTAATGTGTAATGATGCATGCGGCTATAACTAATCATGCGATTGTTAAGTGGGCACACAAAACATTTAACCGAACAATATTTTTAAACAAACCGAACAAGTATTTAATTTGTATGACTGCACCTTATATCCTCCTTTTGCCATGCTCGGACGCCAAATCACCCGACCAAAAGTGAGTTGGACCAAGTGACACGCCACTCATTGGGTCCAATGAGGGCTTACCACATGGTAATAATTAAGCGAACAAAAATTTCCATTAACACCATATATTAAAATACTCTGGCAAGTCATGCATCATTCAAATATCTAAACAGGAATATATCCGAACAATAATATCTCATCATGATAAACAAAAATAAATTTTTGACCCACTTGGCAATAATTTCAAACAAGTATATAACAGTATTTATTTTTAATAATTCATAGTTTTTCAAACAACAAGACAACACATAATCATTCATAAACACACTCATCACAACACATTACTAATGGTTACCTTGTGTCTTGAATAATAAGTTCCCCTTCACAACTCTTCTTTCACCACTATCTTTGTCAACACAATCTACATAGTTATTTCATAATACTATATATTAATTTTACATTAAAATAAATAACTCTAATTTAAAGAGTTAGAAAGTCTTAGATCTATAATCCATATTAACACTAATTTAAGATTTATGCCTCATTTAACTTTCCAAATTCTTTTCTAAAATTTTCATACCTTAATAAATCATATTTAAGCTTCAAATCACCTTTCTATAACCTCAAAAATACCTATTCATATTTAAATAAATATTTAATAATCAAAGGTTCATCCCTACATCTTAGATTCCACATAATTCAACCATATAGATCTATATTTTAACTTAAAAATTCTTAAACATGAGTTTCAACCTCAAGAAAATATTCTATAATATTTATTATATCTCTAAGAGTTTTAACCTATATTTTAATTCATCATATCATTAGATTAACTATCGTATAGAAAAATTTTAATCAGAATATTTACTCTATCCTACAAAATAATCATATCACTAGAAAGCTAATATTATTTAGAAAATAATTATAAAATTAATTTTGTAATTAAATAAATTTTTAAAGGCTAATCTAAATAGGAAAGTTAGAACATACCTGAAGAAAAAGAAAATAATCCCCCCTTGTAAGAAAATGCCGAACAACGTGAGAGGAAGAGAGAAAAAATAATAAAAATGGGATTGTGGGTCTCAAAATTATATAAAAAAATATAGGTCTGAATTTAATTATTTAAATCTTTGGACCATTACTTGCAATTTTCACAAATTGCATAAACTTTTCTTTTTCTTTCTTCTGCTCCTCCTCGCCTGTGCCTCCTCCTTTTATATGTGAGAAGGCACCTCACCTTCCCACATCTAATCGATGTGGGACTTCTACAGTACCCCCTTTTTTTTTACTTTCTTTTTTTTAAAAAAACTCACATACACACATAATTTTTTATTTTAAATCTTAAAATTATATCTTAACAAAATATTTCTTATATAATTTTAAACTTAAATTTTTAATTCATAATTAAATTTCTAACTATATTATTATTTTCAAATAACCTCAAATAATATAAATTCCTATTATTATATTATTTTTTAAATAAAAATTTAAATTTCATAACAATTTTTTTTATCTAAAAAAAATCATGATGTTACAATCTCCCTCCCGCAAATCTATCACATAATTTTATCAAAAATACAAAAATTATCAAATATATTATTAAAATAAATACATTACAATGGACCAAATTGACTAGATCACCAATGAATTGACCGGATTAGTTTGAGTTAGCACTATCCCGAGTTATGTCATTAACTAACTAGATCGACCAATGGCTAGTTCAATCAATAATGATAAGATCGGCCCAGTTTTCCATTCATTGCTATAAATAACTAAAAGGACCTTCAATTTCTGTTTTTGCCTTTATCTTATATGGTTTTTTTGGGGGCTATATTAAGATTGTTTTTAAATTAAATATTTATTTTTTTAAAAAAATATACAATTTTAAAAGTTTAGTATAAACATTATATCATTTTTACTAAAATAATTATTTTAAAGATAAAAAAATGGTGGTTACTTTCTTCTCTTAAAAAAGGAACTTCCAAAAACATTCCAATAAATAATGAAATAACTAACATCCCAACTCAGTAATTCCCAGAAGGCTTCTTACTCTGTTTTAATGCCAATATTATCGTATGAAATTTATCAGATCTAACTGGATGTAATTCTTATTATTTCTTTTTGATACAAGTAATTCTTATTATTTTTTGTCAAAAAAAATCTTATTATTTCATCCCAATGTGTTTTATTATTATTATTTTTAATCTTTCACAATGTCATTTTCCCCCAAACTGCGTTTTGCTTTGACCCATATCTGAACAGAAAATCACTAAAACGACGCAGTTTCGAATCAGAACCAAAAAGGTTCCAAGAGAAAAAGTCTCTCGGAGATAACTGAAGAATCGAAGTCATCTCGCAATTCCTGAAGTCTAATTTCATTCCCCTTTCTGCCCTATTCTCTCCTGCCCTAGAATCACAACCTCTCTGAAATCTTGATCAATCCTCGAATCGAAAACAATTTCGGTTGACGGGCAAAGCTCTAAGCTGCAATAAGCACCCAATTTTAATCTTCAAAGAAGACGATGTGGGCTGCTTCCTGCCTCGCATCATGCTGCGCGGCCTGCGCTTGTGATGCTTGCCGGACGGCGGTATCAAGTATCAGCCGGCGTTCCGCTAGGATTGCCTACTGTGGGCTGTTTGCGTTCTCACTAATTGTTGCATGGATTCTTCGTGTGGTTGCCGCTCCCTTAATGGAGAAAATCCCCTGTAAGCAGTTGAATGTTTTGCTTCTTGATTTTCATCTGTTTGTTTATGGGTCTTGTTGCATCACCTCTTGATTACGCAAGGAAAATAAAATGTTTTAATTTATTTAATGAATTTGTGTTTTGGATATTTGATTTCTTCTATGAATTTCGACAATATTTTATCTTTGAAAATTTGGGTTTTGATTATAAGGTATTTTAGGCTAGTTCGACTAGATGACCATTACACGACTTGGATTTGTGTGTAGGAAATCAGACGCATTATGGATATTGGTAGTTTTATCATAGACAATTTGGATTTTCGTTGATATATCTAGGAAGCCGGAATAGACTATTATTGCACGATTGAACTGTGCAGACAGTTGGATATGTTAATGTTACAGATAATAGTCGGGGCTATCAAATCAATTAGCTATTTCAAAAAGCTAAAAGTCTCTTGTGCACCTCGGTCGTAAAATTTTCTTGCTTGGTTCCCCCTTCCCCACCAAAAGTTAAAACTCTCTATTGTTTTATCACTCTGTTGAGAAGTGCCATCAATCATCAATCAATGTAACCTATAAAATCTTCAGGAGTCACTCTATTCACAAGCGTATGACATTTCTTGAGCTCCTTTTTTTTTTAAAGGTCTTTCAATCTTTCTTCACATTTTTTTTTTGTATTCCTCTCCGTATAGTTTTTTTTATTCCTTCAATCTTTTTCTATGCGCATCGACATGATTTACATGTCAGAAAAAAGTTCGGTACAAGCTTTAAAATTTTTTAAAGTTATTCTTTTGTCATACATCATGCAACACGTGGAGAAATATGTCTAGTTGTTGTAAGTAAGTATGTATCATGTAATTTACACAGTCACAAAGACTGTATTAATATATATTAATGCTTTCCCAGCTAAAGCTTTGCTGCTAGCAAATTAGTGGCTAACTGAGTATAAAATATCTATAAATAAATTCTATACTGCTGAACCAGTTGTGCTAGTATTTTATTAACCAAGTCAACATGAGGATGGCATTCTTATTTTAAGGTTAGGACTAATCCATCATACTTTTGTCATGGCTGCAGGGATCAATCACTTTACACATACGCCTAGCAAAGAATGGTTTGAAATAGATGCAGTTCTGCGGGTTAGCTTGGGAAATTTTGTCTTTTTCACTATTCTAGCAATTCTAATGATTGGTGTGAAAAGCCAGAAGGATCCTCGTGATAGTTTGCACCATGGAGGATGGATGATGAAAATCATATGTTGGTGCCTTTTGGTCATTTTCATGTTTTTCCTTCCAAATGAGGTTATTGACTTGTATGGTAAGTAGTTCCTATAATTTAGTTTAAGTTATTTAATTTTGAATTGATTTTCTACAGTAAAGTCCCCAAGCATAGTGAGCTATGTGAATGTGAATTTGAGAGTGCTATGCGTTAACGCAACAATTATTTTGATTTCTACCGTAGATCCACTGTGCAATTTTTTTGAGGAATTGTATAATGATTTGAGTTTTTATGGAAGTATAAGGACATTGTTACTGGCGCATCTGGATGGAGCCGTTTGCAAAAGAGTGATGGGAGCATCATTCTTGGTTCATGCCTTGAAGAATTTTATTATTTTTATTCTGTTATATCTTGTAACAAGCCATCTTCATGTCAAATGAGAATCATGGTTGTCAGCTAATGCAGTTTATCATATTGGAAGGCCTATCTTTTGGATGGTGGAGAAACTTGAATTATGGATGATTTGAATTCTGAAAATAATTTTACGTTTTTGTAAGTAATATTAGTGTATATATTTTCCTAAAAATAAATCATTATTCATAGGCTAGTTTAAGACATTTTTTGATAACATTAATGCGCTATAACTGTAAATTGACCTGCCAATACAAGATCCTTTTAGTTCTAGGTAAAATATATAATATGCTGAAGTCTAATTTTCAACATTGATTTAAGTTTTAATTACGTAATTGTTAAAATTACCTGTTCAGGCTTATCAGGGGCATAATTCGTACTTACCAGTCTATTCATATTAAAGCAGATTATGAATTGAAGGAGTTTAATAAAGATAGGCCTTTTCATTGTATTCTTTTGAGTTTTGACATGCCAATCTTCCCGTGTTCTGATTCTGATGAAATTTCTGTTGTTTCCAGAAACGTCATCAAAGTTTGGCTCAGGTTTGTTTCTTCTTGTTCAAGTTGTGCTGCTGTTGGATTTTGTTCATAGATGGAATGACACATGGGTTGGATATGATGAGCAGTTCTGGTGAGCTTAGCCTTTTGCTATACTAACTGATCTTCTCTGATGTAATTTGCTTTACTTGACATGACGAATTTTCAATTATCTTCTCATTATTTTTCTTTTATACAGGTACATTGCTCTGTTTGTGGTTTCTCTCGTTTGTTATGTGGGCACATTTGCATTCTCTGGAGTTCTCTTTCACTTCTTTACAGCATCTGGACGGGACTGTGGCCTCAATACCTTTTTTATTACCATGACCCTGATTTTCGCATTTGTTTTTGCTATAGTTGCTTTGCATCCTGCTGTAAGTTCGTCATTTGGTTTCATTATAACTAACCTTATTGATTTAATTTCTTTAGGTCAATGCAAATTTGTTGATTGTGTTGTCTTATGCTCTCAGATTGCCCTTTATTGTTTTGGTTTAAGCGCTGGTTGAATGTGTTGCATATTATCCTTGTTTTCTTCTGTGCTATTTATACCATTTTATAAACGTTTATCATGTGTCAATGAGGATTCAGATCATGTTAAATCCTGCAGAATATTAGCTGGGGATATGTTCTTGCTACTGAAGGGCATGATCTGTACCTTTTATAGCTTGTCTGGTCTTGTTTCTTTGGGATAAACTTATTTTACAGAAATGTACTTATGATTGTTTTGGAGCCTTTGGCTGTACTTGTTAAAAAAATAGGATACTTTTGAGTGGTAGCAGTTTTGTTTTGGGTCTCTTTAAATTATTAGGAAAGAGATTTATATGTGGTTTCTTGTATATTTGCTATTGGGAATCCCAATTAAAACAGAGCAAGTATCATGTTTGGCAAACAAATTTATAATTTCTCAATTAAACTTCCATATTTTATTTGGAAAATCTGATGTCAAGTTGTAAGGAGCTGGACCTAAGTTTAATCCAATCATTAATTATCTCAGTTATTTCTTACATTTTTACATTAACTCTACCTCATCCAAAGAAAACATGCCTTTTTAATAATTTGACTATAAAAAGCACTTCTTGGGCAGTTTTGCTAAACTCAATAATATTGATAACAGCGCTGATAAAATTTTAAGCAAAACTACTTTTTTGAATAGATTTCTTTTAAACTTTCATTTGGGGATGGGGTTCCTCAGAATGAGTAAAATTCTGCATGCATGTTAATCAGTCTTTAAATTAATCTCTTTGCATGACCTTGTTGAATCGACTTATTTTTTGACAGGTAAATAGTAGCATCCTGCCTGCATCAGTGATATCCTTATACTGCACTTATCTCTGTTATAGTGCACTGGCCAGTGAACCAAGAGATTATGAGTGCAATGGTCTTCACAAGCACTCAAAAGCTGTTTCCACTGGCACCCTTACCTTAGGTTTAATTACAACCGTTCTGTCTGTTGTCTATTCTGCTGTACGAGCTGGATCATCGGCTGCAGTGCTTTCTCCGCCAAGTTCACCTCGTGCTGGTAATTGCTGAAATCCAAAGTTTTCAGTGCAATAAATGCCACATTCAAAAGTATGACTGCATCATAACATTTTCAGAGACGTCAATGCCCTGAAAGAAATCATGATTGATTTGTCATATTGCTAGTAATTAGGAATTGCATCACATTTCCTGTTTAGCCACAGGTGCTAGCTAATAACTGGTAATCTGGTTTTTGTCTGCAGGGAAGCCTTTGCTTCCTATGGATGCCAAGGAGGAAGACGAGAAGGAAAAAGCAAAGCCAGTTACATATTCGTATGCCTTTTTCCACTTGATTTTTTCTCTTGCTAGCATGTACTCTGCAATGCTTCTGATTGGATGGACAACCTCTGTCGGGGAGAGCAGCAAGATAGTCGATGTTGGGTGGCCTTCCGTGTGGGTTCGCATCATCACTAGCTGGGCAACCGCTGTACTGTACATGTGGTCTCTTGTTGCTCCTATCCTCTTTCCCGATCGGGAGTTCTAAGTGCCCTGCTACTCAGCTGCAGGGTTCTGGAGAAGGGTCCATGTCTCATCAAAGTATCAACTACTATATATATATATATATATATATATATATTGGTTTGCTGTGGTGTGTCCACTACTATCATCATATCATGTGTGCCCTGGAATAAATGTTGTTTGACATAATGCCAGTTTCCAAGTGGCCAAACTTGCTTGTATAGTTAACTTTTGATACCCAGAAGGATTTGTTGCTCTATTATCCTCAAGGACTAATGGAAGGCTATTATGAGCTTTGTTTACTTTACCGTGAGGCTGGCCCATGTCGATGATCAATTTAGTAATTAGTAATTGAAGTAACGTAAATTAAGAGAGCATTGCTTCCGGGTTAGGCCGATAGATATAGACGCATGAAGTGTTTACCTCCGTGCTGGAATGGGTAATCAATCATTGCTCTGCTAGCAGCCGAAATGCATGGATATGGTAGCAGAAAAAAGGTTGTATAGTTAGCCGCGAAAAATCCCTTCCGATTATATGATGAGTGATTTCCTTTTGTATGTTTCATTTTATTTTATAAAAATTACATAAATATGAAATACACACACGCGTTTTAATATGAACTCATCTTTATTGAAATATATTCTACTAAAAATATGTATGAGGATCATTAGTTAAAAAAATGTGGGTAGATTAATGGATGATATTTTAAAAAACTAAACCAAAATTAAATCATAGCTTTAATTCTTATTCCATAATTTTATAATTTTAACAAAATAAAAATATATGTAGTTTGCTTATACCTTTTAAAAATGGGTATTTATGATTCAGTTTCATGTAAGTGGAAACCAGGGTCTCATGTACTGTAATTTGTAGGCAGGAAATATAATAAGGAATTAACCGAATTATTTATAATTTATAAATATTCTGGTCTGTCAAATTTTTTGTAATATGTATGCATACATGAATGGACTACTTGTCGCCCAAATCTTACGTTTTGACTTCGAAGACTTTTAGCTCCAATTGTCAAATGCTGATTTTTTTTAATTATTATTCTAAAACATGCAATTAAAATGGAGCTGTTATGTTTATAGAAGTACTTAAAGTTGTTTTTCAATGAAGTCGTCATCGTAGAATTGAATCTCACCATCTGGTGGATTGTAACTAAATGGTCAAGATTTTTAATAAATGAACCAATCTCTGTTGGTTAACTTAATAACATTTTAAAATTTATTTTGATAAATCTAATCCGTTTTTCTTCGAGAAGCTAATAATCCAATAGTTTAGATAAAGTTGATAATTTAGGTCAAGTTCAAATTCACCCAACATAATTAGAGCCAGATTTGATTATATAAATTTTTGTAAAAAAGAATATAATATTTTAAGTCGGATCTGAATAAGTGCGGTTCGAATTGAGCCCGACTTGGTAATTTTGGATAGACCAACACGAATTCAATCAAAAAAAGTTAGGACCAAATTTAATTATATAAATTTTTTTAAAAAATAATATATTTTAAATTTAATCTAAATAAATTTAATTTAAATTGAGTCTGAATAAATTTGATCAGTCCAAATTACGGGCCCAATTCCTTCCACGCTCTAAAGTTTTGGGACCGGAATAGGCTTATCTAAGTAACCAAACATGTCCCCCCAATAGGCGAGATTATCAAAGTCGAGAACTGGAAGAACAGAAACGAGCAATCGATCTCGAGGGTGTGAGAGAGGAAGTGTGGAAGTGAGAAGCAAAATCAGGGAAGATGGGAGGAGGAATGGAAGCCCACAAGAACAGGTTCATAGAGGATTGGAGCACTGCTAGAGAGAATCTCGAGCACAACTTCCGATGGACTCGCCGCAACTTGGCCCTTGTTGGTATCTTCGGAATCGCTATTCCCGTCCTTGTCTACAAGGGAATTGTCAGAGAATTTGTATGTCCCTCAATCTTTCTCTGTGATTTTCTCTTATTTTTCATTCGAATGATTTCTTTTGTTATGTGATTTGATGGCCATTCGCTTCTGCTTGGGGATAGATCCATCAATGCCCTAAGATAGTCATGTTCACGTGTGATAGTTCTGTGAAAGAATATTTGTAGCAGCCTATGGTTAAAGATGCCCCCTTTTCTCTTGTATGCGAATTTTTCACTCATGAAGTAACTTTCTGGGAAAAGACATTGGTAGAAATGTGGGATGCATGGATATTTGAGGGGGCTGCTTTGAGGGAACTTAAGGATGTTGTCTGGAAAGGTCTGGAGTAGCATGGATGATGTGGCAGGACATAGTGGCTAGGGTTGCTGGACTTATAAGCAATGGGTTAACTTCCCACTGTTTCTATCTTGAAAAGAATTGCGCGTTGGGAGTGATAAGAATGCGGATACATGATAGAATATAGATGATGCCCTAAACTGGTTGTGCATGTATTATTACAGAATTCACTAATCTGCACTTAATTTCCTCACTTGGCCCTGAGGACTTGGAGCTGTTATTGTAGATTTAGCTGGTTTTGGGTTTGGATCTTGGAATCTTGGTCTTGATATGGGCATTTGGAGGTGTTGATGAGGAGGGTGGAACGTGTAGTCTTGAATCTTGTAATGAGAGGTAGAGAAAGATTAAAGAAAACACTCAATAAAATTGTTGAATGAGATATTTGATTAACAATATGCTCAAAGTCTTGGTTGTTGATAGAGTACAATGACATTTAGCTATCCATGTAGTTGGCCCCACTTAGTGAGATAAGGCTTGTTGTATTAGTCGTCATTTGCTAATCTTGATATGGGCATTTGGAACTACTCTCCTTCCCCGTCCTCATGCCACATCATTGCATTATTAAATTTGAGCATCTAGTTTACAAGTTCCTATTTTGTGTGAGGATTTGAACGAGAATCTTATATCTTTCCTGTTAGATTGTGAACTACTTGGATTTTGATTGGTACAAAGAAGTTTTTAAATTGTTGAAATGGTGAATAATCTCAGCTGAGCACTTGCAACTGTCTTGTCTATGCAGTTTGGAAGTATGAGTGCTTATCTTAATTAATGGTTTTATTGCAATATCTAGACTTCAATGGGTTGTCATCAAATGGATGGCTACCAGCAGTCTACAGACACTACTATTAAATACAAAATAGATAAATTTCAACCTCACATATGATTTCTTTAAAGGATCCTTGCCTATATACTGGATTTTTCTGGTTGAAAATGATGTGAGTTTTACATCCTGCATAAACTTCATCCTTGGGTATACCTATGCTGCTAAATAAGATTTGAGCTTTATTTGGCTCTCTTTTGGTTGATCTTTCTTGCGACATTGATACTCCTTAGGTTCTATTTGATAGGATATATTTCTCAAAATTTCCGTTAATGCTGTTTCCTATATACTATGTGCAAGAAAGTTTGTTCCTTGTGTCTTACAATCATTTTGTTGCGTTTACAGCATATGCAAGACGAAGATGCAGGTCGACCATATAGGAAGTTCTTGTGAGAATTTGACAAATGCTTTGCAATAATTGTGGGACTCGCGAAAATTAGACCTTAAATGAGACCACAAACGTGTGCATTTTCTTCCCGGACCAAGTGTTTTTCTATTTTATCTCTTGGGGTAAAAACCGAAGACCTTGTGGACTTGATTACATTGCAGTTTATGTAATTGCTATTTTGGTAGAAAAGAATCACCGTGTCATCGTTTTGTTCTGTGTTGTTTCACTCATCATGAAAACAGCCTCACCACACCAATAAACAGTCGTAGCTTTACTCTTCATATGAATCCAGCAGAGACTCTTTCTTGTTTTTCGTTCTTTTTTTTTTTAATGAACAAATGGAGAATTACAGATGCTACGGATAAACCATAAGGTAAAAAGGGCCAACGATTAGAAACATTTTGCACATTACATTGATCAGCAATTAACAAGGTGATGTCGAAAAAAATGAGGTCTATTCATATTTTGGGTGTCTTGGGCAAACCATTTTTCATACTTTTCGAGACACATGGTTATAGATGACTGATCTAATAATTATCTTCTTTATCTCATTGAGGGTGTTTCTTTGTAAGTGTTGGCACAGATATTTTGTGGAGACAAGTGTCAATGCTTCAACTGGATTAGCACATAGCATAATTTTTTGCATTATAGCTCACAACAATGTCGAAGTGGCGCAGAGAGAAACAAATTAGGATCGAAGGATTGACACTGTCTCCACGAAACATTTGAGCCAAGACTCATGAAGACGCACTCAATGAGATAAAAAGTAAAAACTTAAGCCAATCTATCTCCATCAGCTCAGCCATTCCAGAAGAGACTTGAGGTTCATTTATTGCTGTTCGGTTTCTATCGCGATATTACATTAACTAGAGCACAATTTGTCAGAGTAACATACATTGCCATGACAATAAACCGTTGGCGAATTCAATGCTCTGCTCATATAATGGAAATCCAAAGGAGTAGAATTTTAGGTTGGAATACACGCGCACGTGCATAAACATCAGGATTTTGAATGGGACTTGCCACTTTCAGATATGTTTCCAATGTGGTTTGTTATTGTTGTTGGGGTTAAAGATCATTTTTTATTTTTAAATCATACACAAAAGGTCACAAATGACTCTAGATTCAATTATGAGTCAATTTAGCATTATATTTTTTTAAATGACCCTAGACTCAATTATAGGTCAATTTAGCATTATATTTTTTTAATATTTTTTATTATAAAATATTTGAGTTGAGGGTATTCATTGACTCTTCGAATAGAAGTTGGGAGGCAAAAATAACTCTTCACCCAAAAAAAAAAGAAATAGTAGGCTCCACTGATGGATATTGATAAAAAGAATCTTTAAAGTTGACAGATATAATTGAATTTAGAGTCATTTGTGATTTTTCGTATATAGTTTAAAAGCAAAAAGTGATCTTTAACCTTTGTTATTACTCTCTCATAATGATATTATGAGACATCTTTTAGAAAAGATTGATAGTCATTAATTGATAAGTTATTAGGTATTTTCAGTATACTTCTATTTAAACTCATTAACTATAAAAGATTGTAGTTAAATATAAGTAAAATTAGAAGTTTATTTTATTTCTAAATAAAATTAATAACTTAATTATCTCTCCTTAATTAAGGTAAAGTGATTAAAGGTACCTTATCATAAGGACAAGATGAAGGATTTGCTTGAGTGCTATGCTGAATGTCCTATATTTGACGTGTCTTGTTCTTCAATCATTGGAAATCATGGTCCAGAATGAACTTGGTAGGGTTACAACTTCCATCTATCTTAATCATATAGCACATTGAAACATGTTATGGAATGAGATCACATAACCAACCACCTGCA